AATGAAAAATGTCCGCAAGTGCGAAAATGAATCTGCCTCATGTTGCAATTTATTATGCCAACATAATAAATATTATATACAGTTTGTGTGAGAAATTGAAGAAGAAGAACTTCGCTCTGGGGAGTCGTTTTTTTGGGGGCCTCAGAAGAAGGTAGCTACGAGTCCATTGGGTGTCACAGTTACTTGCTTCTTTCTCTGTCCACTTTTTTTTTCCATTTCAGGCTGCCTGTGACAGTTGGAGAAATGTTCTGGTGGGCGGAACAGGCCCACTTCAGATATTGTTTTTCCAGATCCTGCTTCTTACTTTCCCGATGCCTAATTGCGGCCAAGGAAAATAAAGTTTCTGACTGTGCCAAATTGGGCTAAAGGAGCCTGCGAAGGGGCCAAGTAAAAATATGGCAAGGCAGCCGGGGGCAAAACATGTGCAATGTCATATGACAGAGCATGAGATACGACGATGTTGCCATGGAACAAGCTTTTGCCAAAAATATTGCAAGCAGGAGCACATAAGCACTAATAAATCAGGACTAGTCCCAAGTAATGCAGATGAACCAGAGACTTAAAAATTACATGCCTAGCTTTTAAAACCCGTAAAATTGGAAACCGAAAAATACCATCTATTTGCAAAGAAATTATTTCGGCTAACAATTGTTAATTATAATTTTAGCAGCTTAACTCGAGATTCAATACAGTTACGAGTGAGTTTAAAATATTTTGTCATACAAATTATATTAGTTGCCTCTTTTCCTGTTTTATTAAACTCTTTTTAAAAATTAAAAAAAAAATATATATTAACAGATCATTTACTAGACAGATAGATGATAAACATGGTGGAATGTATCCATTAGGAATCTATTTTTAAGAAATGCTTACTTTCTACATTAAAAGATCAACAATGACTGGCCAATTTAAAGAAGTACTTCATATAAAGAGTTAAAAACGTGCGCAATAATCGGGTTTATTGCTCCAAATCGACGGGTTCTGTTGATCTTTTCACTTACGCCTACGCATATGGGCCTTGAGTTATTTGCTTTTTTGCCCATCTATTTTGGTTGGAGTGAAAATTTCGTCTGCACGCATTTTCTATAAATCATTCAAATTGTCAACACGAGTATATTTCTTGTGCGAGTTGCTTGTTGTTCTCAGAAAAAGCGGAAATGTCCGAGGGACAGGTGGATGGAAGTGGCCTGGAAAAGTTGCGCGGCATTGTGATTTTGTTAGACATGTCCACCCACATGGGTTTTTCTGTATCGCGTAACCATTTGTGGGTGCCTCTGCGGTCTGAATCCATTTCCACCTCCTTCAACTTTGCGGCTTGCAGCTCTGTTTGCTGTTTTCCGATTGTTGCCGTTGCCACTGCTGTTATTTAAGCAAATTTATTTCCCTGCTACTGGTGCTGCTGCTACAGCTATTTGCTTTTCATTTCCGGCCACGTCGACAAATCACAAAACAACCCGAAAAAGGATATTATCTGGTTGCTACATTGGTTTGGTGCTACTTCCCGTATTTGTCTAAATAATTTGCAAAACATTTTTCGTTTCATCGCTCTGCAGGCTGATTGTGTGCGAAGATTTCCCCCATTTTAATGGTCTTCTAAGTGGGTCTTTTTCCCCCTCATATTTTTGTGACCTTTCATCTTGATCTGGGCTGCTTTGGGTCACTTCATTTGGGCCGAACCCAAATAGGTTGCTGTTGTCCACTCAGTTTTCCACTCACGTGTGCAAATAGAAAACCAAAACGGATTGGGCACACATGGAAAAATAATGTGCTACAAAAATGTATTTAATTTAATATTTCTACGTTCTGTGATAAATAGAAAAGGTACCATAATAACCCAGAAAACAACAAAATAAATTAAAATTCATTAAGCAACTTTATAAATTCTGTTTAGCTAATAAAATGTATATAATGTAATTATTTTGGGACTTAAAAATCCGAGTTAACTCTTTTGCTTTTACTTGAAATGATATACTGATATCGCTATATGTTCGTCAAGATTCTTGCGACAGTGTAATCCAATTCTGGTCAAATCCGTAATGCTAATTGCCTAACCAAATGTTTGTGCCTCCGAAATTTCTACTTGTCATCCAGAGATGATAGCTCACTTAATTCACGGGCGATTTGAAAACGAGTTAAGGCTGTGACGCCTACACCTGCAGTTAGTCGTTGAGAGCATGATGTGGACAACGGGTCTGCTCTTGGCGGTGGGTCTGCTCACCCTGCCATCTCCGGGACTCACCTCTCGAAATCTCACGGAGTTTATGGGACACCGGCAGAAGCGTTGGCTGATCTACCAGAACAGTGGATCCCTGAAGTTCAGCATTGGTCCTTCAACACCCATTCCGCTGGGGGACAAGGTGACCTTTCGATCCGCTGTGCTATCCTTCACGATCCAAGGTGGCTCCTATTCCCTGCCCACATCGCCCATCTGGCCCTGGGACAAGTGGGAGAGCACTTTTGCCCGATCCTTGGAGCACATGAGACGGAATATCGAGAGGCATACGGCCAATGGGGGAGTGCGATATGCCGACGATGCCAGGCTTTTGGTCTACACTGCTCTGGAGGAGTACATGGGCAGAAGGAACAACGATCTTTCCATTGGAAGGCAGTGCCTTCTGCGGTCCATCTGCGAGAACGCCCAGATACATCACCACATCGGTGTGTTCTCGGAAATAATGGATATTATACTCAGGTAAGGCAAAAGCTATCAAAAGTCTAAACTTTTTAGTTTTGTATTTCTTGTATAAGTTGTTTTTTGTATATCCATAATAAGTTTTCAGAAAAAAGTGATCCCATTTTAAAACCAATATACCAACGTACATTTTTTTTATTCACGCTACTTATGTATGTAGATCTTAACCGGTGTTTTTTTAAATGGTACAAAGATGGTCAGAAATATATCATAAAATTAAACATTCCTTTATAAAACTATATTATTTGTACTCCGCAAATTTCTTTGAAGCCCATGATCTCATTGAGTAAATCTCTCTGTTATAATCTTATAACCTTAAAATCATGTTATCCATTTTAGTCCTGGCAATGCGGATTTGGATAACTCCTATCACGAGGCCTTTGCCGCCGGAAAAGGTGGAGCGAATTGTCTGGGCCTCTACAGGTCCTGTCCTCGGGGTCTCAACTTCCTCGACGGGCTTTTGATTGAGGAAGATGATTGATTTACTGCTGCTGCTGCGGATTTCTGTGAAACACGGAAGAGAGTGGGGATCCGCAATAAAGTTTTCAGCCAAATCAAAGTGCATGTCTAATGGGTCTTGTCCTGATGTCGGATTTCGCTTGTTCTTGCTGCATAATTTGGGGCGGAAATGCACGGAAGCATGTCTGAGGGGCCAGGAAACTGTGTTGACTCGGCTCGAGGATGAGCATGTGTGCACATCGATGCAGGCATACCAGATGCAAATGGGTTTATGCGGGGAATTATGTGTTATGCGGATTCTGGAAAACAAGTGTAGAGATATTGGATAAATAAAGTAAAAATTCATAACCACTACAAAGTCTAGTTTTCTTTAAGAAAAATCTCAATAACAAAACAATAATAGAACTCTAGTTACTAACATTTAAAAAAAATATTATCTATACCGTTTAATTTTTCTAAAGATATTAAAGATTTATCTTAACACCTTGTTTGACGTTATAATTCAGTAGCTTTTCTTTATACTGAGTAGGAAGTTCTTAACCATCTTTTTTGTTTCTTTTGCTAAAAAATCAGTTTGTAACCCGATTTTCCAGCATCACGATAATGATGCCGCATAAACACGGCAGCCGCAGACATTAGTTACCTATTCCTCTGCACCATCACAAGTTCAAACACCGCAAAGTTGTGCTGGCCTCCCCCGAAACCGCCCCCTTTTGCTGCGCCAACTGCACTTTGCATGGTTCCTTCGCCCCACTTTCTCCACTTTCACCCCCTCCCTTCCTCGTCTTTTCCGCTGCTTAGCTCCTTCGTTGTTCGCGTTGTCATAATCGCATTTGAATTAGCTGTGCACACAAGGCGCAGCTGATGATTCTGAACAGGGTGCTTAGAATATCCGATATATCAATATCACAGAAATCTATTCAAAAAGAGTTTCAACAATTCTAAGTGACTAAGTGTCGATAATACAAATAAAATAATAAAGAATTTGTCAAATGTATAAAACTTATCGCAGTTTTTTTCATTGAGCTCTCAAAACTTTTGGGATTCGAAAAACCATTTTTTGTAACAAAATGGTTTTTAAAAAAAGTCTTAAAAATTAAAGGAACTTGATATTTATTTTAATATTAAAAAAATTATTTTTTTTAAATATATTTTATGAAAAACCTTAATAATTCTGTTTTTTAATAAATACTAAAATATTACACAATTAGAAAGGAAAATATTTTTGTAAAATTGTTTTCTAGTTGTTTTTTGGTTAGTATAATAAACATTTCGTTTTAATCCAAGCATTCACGGATGTTCTAAGGAATTTTCAACTAATCCTTTTTTAAATTTAAGTTTAAAATAGCACCTGCTGCACCCTGTAAAAACGCATCCTCTTCTCCGTCCGTCGGCGTCTGCGAGAGCCTAATGTGCCACTTAAGACGCATTTATTGTCTTTCGTTGTTGCTGTTGGTGTTCTTAGGGCTTGGAGCTTGGATCTCGGCGGTTGTTGTTGGTGGTGCTGCATTTTCCATTTAATTGACGCCATTGTTGACAAAATGGCGGTCGTGTGTTGGCTTTTGGTGCGCTTTCCCGGCCCGCGTTGCACCAGCCACAAGCCATTAATGTTAACGGATTTTTCGCCCAGAAGCTGGGGGCTGTTGGGCTGCACTCATGTTTCTGGTTTACCAAAGGCGGGATCCCCAAGTCGGTGGAACTTGAGAGGGCGTGGCCGTGACAAGGGCGCAAATCACTTGCAATTAGTGTTAAAAATTCATCGGAGTACCAAGATGGTTCAGGTGGGTTGAGATTACTGCCAGCTTGACGAGTGATTGGTGTTGATCTAACTGAAAAGTGCTATCAGTGGTAAGCTATAAATTAACTGGATTTATTGAAGCCTAAGATATAATTCATTTTGGAAAATGGATAATTAAATTTAAAAATGTACAGTCCTTATAAAATACACTTGGCTTTAATATTCCACATCCACAGCGTATGCATCTAAGACACTTTCACCTCTTGGACAATCCGAATAGTGTGATAAACAATCTATTCCAGCTTTCCCAGCGGCTAAGGCTTCTGTATAGGATATATCTAAACGCGTTCTACCAGGTCTGTAAAAATGAATAATTTTAAAATTTTTTTAATTTAATGAACTAATTAACTAATTTAAAACTAAAGCTTACGTGAGAAGAACGTTTAAAAGTTCCGCCATGATTCCGACATGATGATGGACCTGTGCATTTTCGCAGATCCCGCGCAGCAAACACTGTCGACCATGACCCACCGATCCACTGACCTGGTCCATATAGTTCTCCAAGGCAACGTAGACAAATGTGCGAGTGTCGTCTTCGTGGGATTCATCCAAACTCCTGATCTTCTCCTGCAGCGAACGGGCGTAGATAGTCTCCCATTTGTCCCACGGATAAAGTGGAGCCGATGGCAGTGTAAATGCTCCGAAATGCAGAGTATAATAGTAAACCATGCTGCGCCACACTACGGGATCCTCCAGTTGGGTGGCCAGCACGGGACCCACTACCAATCGAATGGTTCCTCCATTCCTGTAGATCAGTTGATGTCTCTTCTGGCGGGCATGCAGATATTCTGTAATATTTTGACCAACTAACGGGTCAACCACATCGTAGGCACTTCTAACCAGAGGCAACAAGCCGGAAAACAAGTATATCCAGTCCAACAGTTGCATTGTAAAACGACTGGCAGTGGCACAATACGTTTCAAGAATGAAGACCACTTAAATCGGTACCGATCTGCGCTGCGTTGGGAAATAAATAAATATTGACCCAGCCAATTAGAGTTCTCAACAAACTGGGTTATAAAGACGTACAACTCTCTTCGTTCTGCATAAGTAATTTGGTAAATAAATATAGGCCATTTTACCGCAATCGGAGTTAACTGATTGGAATTTCTTGTATTTTGATCCATTAAAAAAAGGTATTTTCCATAATTGTATTTCATTAAAAAAACAAACTTAAGGAATATACATATGTTAATGCGGTCTTTTTTCAGAAAGATTGTTGAAGAACAAGTTTAAGTTTTCTACAAGATTCTGGTGGATTGGTGAATACGTTTTAGCGAGGGAACATTTAAAAAAAAAATGGGTTTCTTAAGAATGAACTACAATAATATTATTCACAATTAAAACTGTTCAATTTCCCGCCAAATTTAAATTTTCGAAGTAACCTATCGGCTACAAATATTTTCGGCGATATTTTTCGAACTAAGTGTTTGCCATTTCGACACTCCCGCGCAACTGGTCACTCTAGTATTATTAACTAATAAAATAAACAATAACATAACCCCTGGGAAATCGTCGAATTTATCCACCCGTGATGAACGCCGTGATAGCGCTGTGCCACTTCTGCGAGGCGCACGGTCCCTGCGCCATCTTCTGCACCCAGACGCTGCGGGACACCAAGCTGGAGGACCTGCCCCTGGACCAGCAGCAGCAGACCCAGAAGTCCTGTTCCGCCTGCAACTACTCGATGGGCAGGAACAACAGTGCGATTTACAGCAGGGACACGGAGAGCGGGGCCACCTTTGTAAGCACCAAAGTGGCGGTCCTGCCGGAGGTGGCCAATCTGGTCAAGCAGGCGGCGGTTCTCAGTCTCAGCAATGGCACGGATGCCAGCAAGGACGGCGAGTTTGTGTTCTTCGGGGACTCGGCCAGGGGTCACATCCTGAGCCACACCTTCCGGCTGAGTGACCTGCAGGCCCGCGGCTACTCACAGCTCTTCTCCATCATAGTCCTGATGAAGGACAAATACTTCCTGCTCAACATCAAGCCCTTTCTGGCGGAGCACTTGAAGAAGGTGTCCTCGGAGCTGCAGGCGGCTGCCAAGAAGACCAAGGAAACGGAGGAGTCGACCTACTCGGAGAGACAGAGGCGTCTATCTGGCGCCCAGTTCCTGATGCACACCTCCCGCTCGCTGCTGGAATTGACGGGCGAGGAGCACATCTTCGCCCAGCTGCACTCGCACTTCTCGTGGCTCCTGCTGGCCGGATCCCGTTTCCTCACCGAGCACGTCACCTTTGGCAACCTTCCGTGGCTGCCCCCACAAAGTAGCGGACGTCCTCCCGCTCAGCGACTCACCTACAACAGCTCCACCCTGCCCATGATCGAGAGCATCGACGACCCCGACCTGGAGGAGTTCTTCTCGCTGCGACATCTCAAGAGTGTAGTGCGCAAGGAGGAGTTCGCCACGGTGTGCTATTGCGCCTTGACTGGGGTCAAGATTGTGGTCCGCGGGGATCCGAGGAAGACCTTTCGGTTCATGGTCTGCCTAAAGAAACTCCTTCCCGAGCCCATGCACAATCTGATGCGGATCGATGCCCAGCATCAGCACTCCATCAGCTCCGAGTACAAAATCATATCCGTCTCCAACGACATAGCCGTTCCCATGGCCAGTAGCTCGGTATTTCGAATCGACTTTCTGGACAAACACGTCAACGGACATGAAGTCTCGGTCAAGTGGCCTGGAGAACTGCCCAGAAAATGTAAGCATAGCAAATAAATTGAAAACAAAGCTTGTGAAAAGTTAAACGAACTAAATCGAAATTATGTAGCTTAAAAACCTTAGTGATATTATACTATTCTGCTCAGATTCTCTGATAAGAACTAGTACACTCCTGATAAATTAATAAATTCTTTCCCTGCAGTGCCAGATCTCATGGTTAAACTTCTAAAGGCAGTGGAGGAGAAGAACTTTACAGAACTGGTGCTAAACAAACAGACCAAAGTGCTTATCGAAGAGTGGAAAAAGTAAGTAACCTTACTTACATTAGAACAGCTCTAGTTTTTATTCCAACTGCCTCCTTCAGCAAAGTGACCTGCCTCAACCATGCCAAATCCACCAGCGTCCAAGGCAAGCTGAAGAAGGTGCTCGGCGTGCAGCCGCATGATCAACCGGTTATTAATTACTGGAGCACTCACCTTCACTAGGATAAGTGTACACCACATAGAGTTAGGACATTCGTTTTCACCTTTTGGAATAAAACTTCTTTATTGCCGCGCTGCTTAAGCGATGGCGAGAAAAATCAATATCTTAACCAAAAGGATGCCGAATCCAGTCCAGTCAGCCAGCCGCTTACTTCTTGTAGCCACAGCTGGAGCGGCGACCACGAGCGCGCTCGAACTTGCGTCCCTTGGAGCGGACATAGGGGCGGGTGTGCGAGTGGGGCACACCGGGAGCCTTGCCGAAGTGCTTGCAGGCGGTGCGGGCGGTACGCCTGCCCTGCAGCAGCAGGGTGTTCTTGCCGGTGGGCGACTTGAGAGCCAGTTGGTCGAAGGTCAGAACCTCGCCGCCAGCCTTCAGGATGCGCTCCCGGGCGGTCTGGGTGACGTGCAGGGCGCACACAGAGAACTTGGGCACGACCAGCAGGCGGGCATCATCGGTGACGGTGCCGACGACCACGATGGTCGACTCCGGCTGGTTGGCGGCCTTGAAGAAGCGAGCGATGCGCTGCAGCGATAGCGGCGGGCGGTTGATCTTGCTCATGAACAAGCGCTTCAGGACGATGCGGTTGAACTTCTTGTTGGTGCGGCGCTGGAGGAAGCGGTACAGCTGCAGGGGCAAACGGAAAAAACAGGAATTAGTCGACGCATTCTCCTATGAATCTCGGCAATCTTATCCCTTACCTTAACCAGCAGGCGCAGGTACACATCCTGGGATTTGGGCTCGGTTCTGCGAACCTTGCGATCGTACTTGTGGTTGATATCAATACCCTGCAAGCGAAAAACACTAATTAGAACCGATGTTTTGGACCGGGAAACGGTTAGCAAGCATCTGTGCGAATTTTTACTGCATTTTTGAACACTTTTTAATTAATCGGCTTATCGTGTGGTGTTTTAAGATCACAAACTAGATGCCGCGCACAGATTTGTTTTTTTTTTGCATTTTATCGCCAGGAAGCTTCACAGTGCACGTGGGCTGTGGCTCCGCTGGCATTTGCAGGTTATTCGCCCGTTTCTCGCAATGATGGCTGGAAGTTTTTGTAGGGGACCCACCATTTCTTTTGTTGAATGTACTAATCAACGCTAAAAGTAAGAATTACACATTAATTTAAGCTAAAAACGTGGAGCATAAATTTCTTGCACATACCTCGCCGGAAACGAAAGCCAAAAGAAAGAAAATAGTGTGGCTGTGTACAGCAGTAGCAAGACGCTAAAATATCCGTGCGTGCTGTTATCATTACAGCGTGCTGTTAAGGCGCAGCTTGTTATTATTTTCTAAATAGAAAGAAACGTTCAAAAAATAATTATAAAAAGAATATTAATTATAGAATTGAAGATTATAATGCCCCAACTTGTTTATTCAACTTTCAACATCTGATTTAACTGAAAAGATCTAAAAACAATTTTTGGTTTGCACGACCATCTGGCAACGTCAGCAAAATTTTAACATTACTTGTCGGACCATATCTCCAATTGTAATTATTAGGGGCACTCTTGTACATTAATAGAATTAAAAAACGCTTAATTACATCTATTGGAATAGTTGTTTCCCCCAAACTTAAAAGAATGTACATATTTAGTAAACTGTTTTAGTTTGTCTTATATAATCATGTAATGCACATTGTTTAATTTAAAGTTTTTTAAATATCTGTTTTAAGAAACAAAGTCGAATTTGATTTTTAGGGGCAATGTACGAGGACAGCAATACAAGTTTATCCCGAATTTCGACTGAAGAGATTTCTATAGCAACCCATAATGGTAAAAGTTCGAGTAAAACGATCATAAGTCGAATCTGGGCACAGACATATAGATATGTTATTTTACCTCAAGATACATACTACGTTTTCACAGCGAAAACAAATCCTTAAAAAGCCAATAGTTTAGCCTATTATTTATTAAACAGAATTCCATCGTTTACGGATAAGATCAAATTAGATTATTTTAATTTCCGCTTCTAACTTTCAATTTAAAATTACTAAATTGGGAATATAACTTAGAGCATGATTACAAACAGAACAACTTTATTTACAGTGTGCATTTTACACATCACATAAAAGAAAAGGGCGGCAACTCTGATTTTGTTCTAAAAAGATTGAAGTTAAGCATTTATGTCTTTTACTTCTCTGGTCACACCTAGATTTAGGTGCAATCCTTGTTTTAGAGTTCCGTCGATCCTGAAAAGCTTATAATAAGTTAAAATATGTCTGATCAGGGAGCCGTCGGCTACAACATAACGAAGGACCCGGCCTTGGCCAAGAGCCGCATCTTTCTGGGCAACCTGCCGGTCTGCACGCGCGAGGAGCTGGTGAGCATTTGCCAGCCGTATGGCAAAGTCCTCGGCTCGATGGTCCAGAAAAACTATGGATTCGTGCAGTTCGAAAGCGAGGAACTGGCCAATAAAGCCGCCTCCGCCCTAAACAGGTCCACTTTCAAGCAAAACGTGCTCACAGTACGCAACGCCAGCATAAAATCCAAGGCGGCCAATGCGATTGCAAAGAGGAATGCCAATCAGGGAGCCCAGGTCACAGTTCAGGGCGGGATTGTGATGTCAGCGGCGGCGGCGGCTGCTGGTCAGCCCCTCATCAACGATTGCGAGATTATAGTCACGAATCGGGAGAATACGTGAGTTATGCTTTACAGAATTCTCTCCAGATTTTCATTACCCCCCTCTCACTTTTAGCAAATACGCAGAGTACATTGAGGAGCGGCTAAAGAACGCCAGTATGCGGGTGGATGTTCTGTTTCCCAACGAAGACGTCATGCTGGGCAAGGTTCTGGCCAACATCTCTTCGCGTGGCTGCCTGTATGCGGTTCTAGTAACACCCCAGCACGAGGAGCACAACAGCATCACCGTGAACATCTTGTACGGAGTGCCCGCCGAGCACCGCAACATGCCACTGGAGGACGCCATCACTCTGATAGCCACCGATTTCAGGCTGAAGAAGCAGCGCGATGCTGTCGCCCCACCGGTGGTAACCACGGTGCACAAGGGGCAGCGACGACATCCCGATCAAATGCAGGAACTGCTGGAGAGACTGGCGGACAATCATCCTCTGACCGCCTCGCAATACGAGGTCATCCTCAAGTATCTCGAGGGCGAACGCGAGGAGCAACTAAAGCGGGAGGTGGGCGAGGCGAATGCCCTGGCCAAACTTAAAGCTCCCGATCCAGAGATCGAGCTGCAGAAGAAGATCATGAGCATCATGAACAAGCCGGCGGTAACCGAAATCACTACCGAGCTTATGTATCCCACTTTCGAGGCGGTCAAAGAGGACAAAAGGCTGATGGAGTTGCTGGGCGACGAACGCGTCATGGCGGCCTTGGAGAGCGTTTACAACTCTGATCTCAAACAGACTATAGCCGAGTTCTTATAGATTCTCGGGCTTTTGTAGTTATACGATGCTAACCACTAACAAATCGAGGTTTGCAAGGCTAGGGACACATCTTCGTGCCTCCTGAATTTGACGCGTAGAATATTTATACATATATAATTTTTTAAGGCAGTAAAGCCAAATTTCTACATATTCCTGGCATTTAATAAATGTATTACCTATTCACTAATAGATTGGTTAGAATCGTATTCAACAACTAACAGAAAGGGTGTTCCTAAGGCCAGGATCGCTTGGCCTCGTGTCCCTGGTACTTGCCACGGTACTTGAGACCCGTGACCAGCGTGGAGCTCTTGGGGAAGGCAGTCTGTCCGTTGAATTTGGTGTCTGTCTCGGGATTGAAGCGCACGTACTCGTACTGGATGTGCAGATTCTCCGGTAGCTCTACGCGCTTTAGTGCGTCCAAAGGAACGGTGGTGTTCACGGATGTTTGGTAGAAGGCGATAACATCGCTGATGGTACGCAGCTCATGGACCTGGGAATTGGGAACTCCGTGCTGCAGCTCTTGGAAGCAGGCGTTTAGGAACTCGAACTTCTCGGAGAGACTCCCCAACTGATCGGATTTCAACTGAAGTGAGGCGGCCACGGTGCGTATACGGTCAGCTGCATCTTTGGGTGGGGAGTACGGCTTGAGGGGTCGCAAGAAACTAAAAAAAGAACATATATTTAGGGTTTTGGGTAAATAAGTGAAATGTACTGACCCCTTGGCGGCAATTGATTCGCCGACAGCAGATATAGAGCCAGATTTGGTGGGTTTCGCCCTTGCAGCTGAGGCGAAACTTCTCTGCAGGCTTCCTACGAGCTAAAAATACAGGATCATTTTATTTTAATTGAATAAATCATTATTTTTTACTCACAATTGGGGTTTTACGTAAAGTTGCCATAACGGATGTGACCAGATAAAAATATACCAGAAGCATGGAATAATACCAAAGTTTTATTTACAACCGAAAGACCTAAATTACCGCACTGAGCGTTGCCAGATGAAAAACCTGATCTTACGAGTTTAAAAAATATGTTAAACTTAAAAAAATCAAATACTTACATATATAGCTCTATAAGATATTAAATTAAAAATCAATTATTAATAAAAACAATGTTATATTTTATCTCATTTGATTTTTGAGGGCAGAAGAACGTACACACAAGTAAATATTAATAACAAAATTTGTTAGAATTTGTTAATAAAATATTAGAAATGAATTTAGCGTTGCTAAAATTAGATTATTTATGCGGTGCGTAACGGCCCTAGCTGAACTCTGTTATTCGATAACAAAATCCTGTTATTCGATTTATAAAATCCTGTTGTAAATCCGTTGGCTTTTTTGTAATTTGCCTCCATTGATGTTTTTAAAACGTATATCTGTTTATCACGAGATATTTGTGTAAAAATAGAAGGATGGAGAGGGTTCAGTCGACGCCAAGTCCGGCATCCACTTACTGCACTTCCCAGTACTCGCCGGTTCGAAGATCCCAGCGCCTAATTGACAAGGAAAACCGGGACTTGCAGAAGATCCTCCCAAATTGCCGTTCTCCGCAATTGTTTGGGAACACTGAAGATGATTACAGTGAACTATTTCTGCAGCAGGAGAAACCTCCGTCAAAAGTTGTACATTTGAAGCCTGTGGATAAGGTAGTGCACCTAAGATCCTCAGAAAAAGTCGTCCACTTGGAGCCATCAAATAAAGTTGTCCCCCTGAATCTTTCGAATAAGATCATCCACCTAATGCGGCAGGATGAGATCAATAGTCAAGCAAAAAATAAGGATGCGCTTCAGGATGCTGGTCCTTCAAGGACTTCCCAAAAGAAGAGGAGCCATCAGGCCACCCCCAAGAAGCGCGGGCGAAAACCCAAGCAACCGGCCATGGAGAAGCCTACAGAACGCCAATCAAAAGTTCAGGACGATCATCTAGGGATCTCACCCTCTCCATCGAAACTGCCCGAACAATATCCAGCACATTTTGTTCATCAACTGCCTCCCGCAAAGGACACCGCTCGCCTTCGTTCTTTATCAGCTCCGGCCACTAATCTCCTTCACTTTTCTCCAACACCCGAGGACACTCCCGATGCGGTGACTCATTGCAGATTGTTGAACAAATCACCATCGGATCTCGATTCCGATATCTCTATGAACATCTCCCTGAGCGACTCCATTGGCGAGATATTCGGAACCAAGGATTTAAGCTGCATTCTGGCGGTGCAGCTTCCGCGTCAATATATTCTGCTTGAGGATCACCTGCCCGCCTTGGCCACCATGTTGAATGTGAACTTGGATCGCCTAAGAAATGTCCTGGAAATAACTCAAGGCTTGACCCACGAGCAGATCCTGCGCCTTCCGATAAAGCAGGAAGTGGAGGAGATAGATGAACAGTTTAACTAATCTGGCTTACATCCACATTAGATTTTCTTATAGTAAAGTTCCCGGTAACTTCAAATACAAAATGTTTCCACTTTGAATAGTTTTAATAGGATCATTCCAATTGACCAAGTCCAACATGTATAATAGTCTAGTTATTCCCATAAGATCCTTGTTTTTACAACTTAACATTTGAAATGTATCCTTTTCTTGTATATTTTTAAGTGGTATTTAATTTGTTTTTTGTTTTGTTTTGTTATTTTGCCTTAGACTTTCAGAGTGCACAATTTTGTTTAAACCATTTACTTTGTTGTATATTTTAAATTACTAATGCTAAACGTTATCTAGACTTTATTATACTTCATAATTGGTTTGCTTTCCTCGACGACAATACAGCAGCAATCGACCTGGTTTTTGTATCTGTTACTATGCATTCCTTTGCTGTGTTTACTGTGTTTTTGTTTAACGTATATACAACCGCGTGAATTTGGAGTCGCAGCTCCCTAGTAGTCGCTGTCGTAGCTGCCGTCCTGCTGCGCTTGCGTGGAGTCATCGGAACGTTCCGAGGTGGGCTCCAGATCAACGTCCAGGGCGGTAGTGTTGGCCGGACAGCAGCTGGGATGGGCCATGGAGTCGAAGGCATCTTTGATTTGATTGTTGGCACCCTTGGGATCCAGGTCGGTGGCCCAGCTGAAGTGCATCAGCGCCAGATCCATGTTGCCGAGCGTCTTGTGGATCTTGCCGATCAGATAGAACACCACAGACTCCTTGGGCACCACCTCCTTAAGCTCCTCCAGCTCGCGGAGCGCCTCCTGGTACTTGCCCAGGGAGAAGTAGATGGAGCCGCGATGGAATCGGGTCAGCGGATTCTTGGGGTCCAGCGTGGCGGCTGTATTCAGCGTCTGCAGCGAAAGATCCTTCTTCTTCATGTAGAACTGCATTGCGCCGATGTGCACCAGGATAACCGAATTTTGCGGATTGATTTTCAGAGCTTTCACGTAGTGGATTTCGGCCAGCTCATACTTCTCCTGCTTCGAGTAGATGGTGCCGATGCCGAACCAGGCGTTGTAATGCCGCGGATCTCTGACCACCGCGGCCCGGAAGTAGTCCATCGCCTTGTCAAACTCCTCGGTGAGCACGAGCTCATGGCCCAGCAGTGTGTAGCTGTAAACAAAGTCGGGATCGACCTGGACAGCCCGTTTGAAGAACTTAATTGCTGTCTCGTGCTCCTTTTGCAGGGAGAAGCAGTTTCCGGAAACACACCAGGTCACCGGGCTGGTCTTGTCCTGGTTGATCAGATCCTGGGCTAAAGCAGAGAGCTCCACTTCCCGCTGCAGGTGCCACAGGGAGGAGGAGTAGATCTCCATGTAGTCCAGGCGACAGGGCTCCGCCTTGTGGATGCTCTCGAAGATCGCCACCGCCGCTTCGTAGTCGCGCATCTCGTACCTGGCCAGTCCGATCAGCGACTGCACCCAGCTGGAGTTCAGTTGGTGCTTTGGTATCGTCGTCTCCAGCTGTTTTACGGCCGCCTTGCACTGGAAGTTGGACAGCAGCTGATAGGCTTCGGCTAAGTCCCGCAGCAGGGCCATCAGTCCGTCGGCCGACTGCTTCTTGAGTCCCATCAGCTGGTGAGCCATCGTCTGGGCGTTATTCAGGCTGTTGTTCAACAGAACCTTGGCCTCCTCGGCGGCACTGCGACCGCCGCTGTTGTTATTGGCCCCCGAGGAAGTGATGGTCTCGACCTTCTCCTTTCGCTTCTCCGACAGGTGGTGCGACTTCTCCTCGATCAGTTCGTTATTTAAGCAGATCTTGGTCATCCGAGACTTGGTTTTCCGCGGAGGCGAGCGAGGCTGCACGAACTTGTTGGCTATGTTGGGCGATTTATTGTTCTCCTTCACCGAATAGGAGTTGCTAAACAGCCGCGAGCTGCGACGCACTGCAGCATTCGGGTTGGGCGGCACATTCAGGTTGCCATTATTGCCCACATTATTGTTGTTCGGAGTGCGGGGCGTTATGTTTCCGGCTTGGGTGAAGACGGCGGGTTTGTTGAGGCTGCCCTCCTTGCGGTTGATGAGCCCTCCGACGTGGGTCTTCAGCTTCTTGCCCATCATCTTGGGCTCCTGGTTGACCTCGACCAGCATCTGTGGCATTGGCGAGTAGCTATTCATGACGGGCGTGTGGTTACCGATGAAGGAGCCATCGTTGCCGGTACAGGGACTAGTCAGCGGCATGATGCCGAAGCTGGGAGTTGGCGGAGAAATGGCCGAAAGGTATTTGAACTGCTTGCGGAAGGGTGTGCCGCTGCTCATGTCGTACAGCTGCTGGTGCTGCTGATGCTGGCCGGCCGGGTCCTGTGGATAACCCATGGGCGTGTCCTCTAGCATCGCCAGCATGCTGGAGTTTTGCACCAGACCGCCGCGCAGCATGCTGATCGAGCTGTTGAGATTGTTGTTATTATTGTTGTTGTTGATGGGCGTCACCAGGTTGCTGTTGTGGTTCTGATTCTGGTTGACCTGCTGCACCTGCTGCTGATTCTGTTGCTGCTGATCCACGGGCGTGGTCAGAATGTAGTTGGAGATATTGCTTAGGTTGGTAATCAAGGACTGGCGCTCCTGCTGCTGCTGGCTCTGCTGCTCGGCGCCGAAGAGCACCATGGCATTGGCGTTGGCGCTGCTGCCCTGGCAGGTGTTGAACACATCTGTGCTGTGGATCTGGAATATGGCCGCCGCATCTGTGTCCTGGCCCAGCAGGCACAGATCCGCAAAGGCGTGCCACATGAAGGGGTTCAGCTTGAGGGCCCGCCGCAGAGCACTGATGGCCAGCTTATTGCGCTCGGTCCGCACGCAGATCTGGGCCATTAGCTGGTAGGCGAAGCAGGCCAGATCCCCGAAGTCTCGCTGCAGCTCATCGCAGTTCTTGGCGTCCGCGAATCCGGTCGAGATCAGGGCACTCTCCGCCTCGGCATACTTCTTCAGCTCGTAAGCGCACTTGGCCTGCAGGAAGCGGCACTGCGGAGAACGGCGCGTCTTCTCCTTGAGCAGCCAGTAGGCCTGGTGCACCTGATTGGAGCGCAAGTAGCTGGTGGCCAGCAGGAATATCGTCTCGTCGCTCTCCACTAAAACAACACAACAGAGTCGAAGGGAAAATCAGTGATGTACATGGGAAACCAGGAAGACCTTGACCTTTACCTTCTGAGCACAGGCGCTCCGCTAGGAAAACAGCATCCTTGAAGTCGTAGTAGTTGAGGCAGTGCCATATGGCGGCCTTAAAAAAGAGGGAGAGAGTTTGTTTTAGAGGCCAGGTGGACCGAGGAGCTATTGATTTACCTGCACGGGCTCTTGAATCATCATGTCTGAGAGGTCTGGGCGACTTTCTAGGGGGCTCTATAGATACACGCTCTTGTGGCTTGACTATAATTCTTGGCTTTACAATAATTTAAACATGCAGTGTGAAGAAATCAAACAAATTATCATGTCGCCACCCGCACACGCTTCTCTTTTTTTCTTTTTTTTGGCAAATTTTCCCCAACAATATCGGCTCGGAAAAGTAAAAGTGTGGTGTGCTATATTATGGATGT